AGGCTGGTCTAGAACTCACAGGATCCTCCTGCCTCAGCCTCCTGAGTGCTGGGATTACAGGTGTGCGCCACCATGTCCTGAGGAGGTTTTAATATACTCACAAAGTTGCACAACCATTACCACAGTCTAGTTCCAGAATATTTTTGTGGTCTCACTATGCAGTTGAGACTGACCTGGAACTCACTCTGTAGCCCAGGCTGGTCTCGAACTCTCAGCCTCCTGAGTGCTGGGATTACAGGTGTGCGCCACCATGTCCTGAGTAGGTTTTAATATACTCACAAAGTTGCACAACCATTACCAAAGTCTAGTTCCAGAATATTTTTGTCACCTCAGAAAGAAAACTCTGACCTATTATCAGGTAGTCCCTGTTCCCTCCTCCCTCAATCCTCTAGCAGCCAGTAATCTACTTTTTATTTCTGGATTTCCTGTTTTGCACTTTTCACAGAAATGGGATCATATAGTATGTGGCCCTTTGTGCCCATTCTTTTTCACGTGTGTGTTTTCATGTTTCATCTATGTTGTAGTGTGTGCAATTACTTCATCTCTTTTTATGACTGAATAATATTCCATTGTATGGAATGATCGCATTTGTTGGTTGGTGGATGTTTGGGTTGTTTCCACCTTTTGGCTTCTGTGACTCACATTTTTCACCGCCCCCAAGCTCTTTACAGCATTAAGCTGTCTGTACTCTTCTAGTTTGGCTGCTTGGAAGGCAAGAGCTATGTGTGGTTGGATCAGTGGGGCTGTAAGAGATGCAGGAAAGTGGAGTTTCCCAGAACTCTGCCAGAGGGAGGCCTTACACCTGGCCTCAGAGCCATCTGCTGCTAGGTAGGTGTTTTTCCTGCTGTTGATTATTAACTACAGGTTATGGTCCTAAGGGTATATCCCCAGCACTAAAATTGGTGCTAATTTGAGATGCCAGGAATGTTTTCCAAGATACTTAAACAGCTCTGCACCTTGGCTTCTCAGTCTCCCCATGGAGACCAGATCACCATTTTATAAGTCATATGATCATTATAGTCTACATTGTAATAGGATTTCATGTTTTATTTCACAGCCATTACTTTTAGTTCTTCAAAACATTGTTGCCCGCCTCGTTGCAGGTAAAGGAACTGAGACACAGACGTGAGGTAACTTAACCCAGGACAAACAGCAGAGTAGCAGGTAGAACAGACCCTGAACCCAGGAATCTCTGGCTCCTGGTGTAGATAGCCACAGGAGTTTGTGAGTGGTGATGGACAACTGTGAGGGTCTGGGGCAGAGCCATCTGAAGGTGGAGGCAAGGATCCTGGAGGGTCTGGGTGCCATCAGGGGCCACTCCTGTGATCTGCCCAGCCCTGTCTGATGAAGCAGCCCTGTCTAGGTGAACTGTCTTCCACTCCAAGGCCCTTTGATCCTTTCCTGCTGGAGCTGCATTTGGCTGAGGCTAGCTATGACCACTCCTGGACTCCCTGGGCCCTCCCCTCTGCCTGAATCTCTCATGCTTCCAAGGACAGATGCTTGGAGTGGGGGACCCCAGCACCCTGAAACTCCGGGCTGCAGAAATGCTGAGTGGGCAGCATGTGTGGGACCCCAGGTGGAGCAGGCTCTTCAGACTTTCCCATTCAGCTACCGTACTCCCTTCTCTTCCAGCGCAGTGTATAGTCTTCTCTCCACCCGCCTTTCCCTTCTTCCAAGGTTGTCTCCATCACCAACACCTCCTCTTATGGGTCCCTGTGGGTCCCCAGGTGGGTCTGGGGCCCTGTGTCTCAGAGCAGTTTATGGCTGGATTGATCTTGGGGCCATGGCACGTGGCAAGATTATTGTGATTCACAAGAAAGTTGTCACCTTTGCTTATAATAAATGAAAACAGATTCAAGGTTATCCCTTGATACAGCCATATCACTTTGACCTACACATATGTGATATGTTTGCCTGGGTGGGAAAAAAAGGGCTGGAATTACATTGAATGCTGCAGTTTATTCCATCTTATCTTTTTTAAAAAATTTTTCTTATCTGTGTACCAGCTGGTAGCTGGTAGGTGGGTCAGGTCTGTCTGTCCTGGGGGCAGGGTGGCTCACATGTACATGTTATTCTTGTGAGGGTTGTGTCAGGACAAGGTCAAGCACAGCTGATCAGAGCAGGGATGGTGAGGCAGGAGCAGGGATTTCATCTTGTGTCTGGTCCTCCAGTCACAAGACCAAGGCTAGAGCCAGAGACCTGGGTTGTGTATGTCTTTCCTAGCGCTGTAATTATCAAGTGTTAAAAAAAACTAGGTGGGTTAAAGCAACAGACGTTTTTTGACTCAGAAGAGCAAGATCAGTATGTTAGCAGGACACGGGCTATATTGTGAGCTCTAGGTCAGTCTCAGCTGCATAGTGAGACCCTGTCTCAAGCTTCTGGGGAACATCCTTCTTTGTCTCATCTAGCTTCTGGCAGTGCTAGCAATCCTCGGCATCCTTTTGCTTGCAGCCACATCACTCTGACCTCTGCCTCCATCGTCACATGGGGTTGGTTCTCCATTTGTCTGTGTCTTTACATGGTTACCTTTTCTTCTTGGAAGGTGCTCAGCTCTTAAACAGAGAGGAGAGCGGGGGCCACAAGTGGTGATGGTGCAACTTGGTCCCTGTAGGTATTACATAGAGCCCTGTGTACACCAAGGTAAGTTGGATTCTAATTTGCAGCCAAGGGCTGATGTGTATGTCCTCTGAGTTCTGATATTTTTGAGGGCAGCAGCTGTCCATGCCTTCTGCCCACCTGGGCTTCCTCTCTGGAGTCCCGGACACAGTGCTGGGGCTAATACGAGTCTCTTAACCGTGGGTGTTTGTTTCTGCTCCCAGATATCACTTGGGAAATTGTTCTGGCTGGAAACTGCCTCGTGTTCCCACTTCATGGTTCTAACCACTCCCTAGGGACGAATCCTGGATTCTGGAAACAAGCTGACGCAGGGGAGAGGGGCTCAGACCAGGGAAGGTTGGAGTTGGGGCCATTTTTTTCCAGCACTCCCAGATCACGGACAGTAAACACATCTGCTCTGGTTCCATGGATGTGGACATAAACCCAGACAGCCTGACTGTGTGTCAATGTCCCTTGACTGGCGGTGTTAAAAACTTGCCAGCATCACCCTCCTCTAGATAGCCAGATCTGCTGCTGGTCAAGGTGTTCACAAGCCATCGCCACAGGAATGGGCCAAGGACCACAGGTCTGGGAGGGGTTTTGCATTCCCTCCCCTTTTGGCTTGGTGTTTCCTACTAGACTTCCAGGTCCACAGGAAAGGTGCCCTTGTCTGTATCTTAGGGGTCCTGTGGGTAGTGCTCCCATCCTTGATATCCTTCCTTCTGGCTTTCAGGGGCCAGGCCCATCAAGGAGGAATAGGAGCTGTTTGGGAAGGGGCCAAGTGGCAGGAGGGCAGAGCCTGTGTTGGACCAGTTCTTCTGGGTCCAAGGCAGGTGAGGGTAGAGCAGCAGGCAGGACCTCACTGTGGTGATGTCTGATGCCGTGCTCGGAAGGGCAATCTGGTGGCTCCCGCCGAGAGGTCTGGAGAGGTAGTGCATTCACGTGTGTGTAAATGTGTGTGTGTGCTGAGCCTTGGCCCTGTTGCTTCTGTGCTCATTCGTAGTCTGGACCAGGAGTAAGAGAATCCCTCTCTTCAGCTGTCACACATCACATCATCAAAGTCCAGGAAGAAATAAGGATAAAAGCAGGTGGAGTTGCAGGAAGCGGGGTTGGTGGTGGGCAGAGTTGAGGTTGATGGAGTCTATGGATTCTGTGCCAAGCCAGATGTTCCCCAACCTCCTTGTTACGTGCTTAGAGGATAGTGAGGGTGGCTGGCTGTAGGGGCAGCAAGGGTTATTGTCCCAGGGTAGCATAGCCCGCTTTCTCAAGAGATGTTAGATTGGGCTGAGGAGAGCAGGACACACTGGTGTGTGGGTCCTTGGGCCAGGGCCAGGCCTCTGAGAAGCTGGGGAGCTGGGATCTGTGGGGAATGCTGGCTTCTCTCATGAAGAGGGCTTGGATTGGTGTCGTCACCCTCACTGGCAGGACGTGGGCTGGAAATAGGTACAGAAGCATTCCCTCCAGGTGGTAGTGGGGGGGTCCTTTGATCATTTAAGTGGGACACAGGTAGCAGACTGACTCTCTTGGCTGCTTTAAGGTGGGGCTCTTATGAAGCCGGGGGCTTTGAGAGTTTAGCCTGGTCTTTGTAGGTTTTCAGTACTGTTATTTTTGCTCTCCTGTTCCCTCTTGGGCTATATCTAGGTATGTCCCAGACACCAGTGTTCCTGTGCTGGGGATTCCCCAGGTTCTGGCTAGCTGTCCCTCTTGCAAAACTCACAGGAGCCTTCTCCCACCCCGAACAGTCTGCCTGATGATGGGGCAGCAAACAAGCTCTCCCTGGTCACCAGCAAAAGGGCCAGATGGGAAGTGGGGAGTGTGTGAGTGTGGTGAGCTTGTCCCTGCCATGTTGCCATGGTGACACAACTCTGTTTAGCTGCCTCTCCCGGGTCCTAGCCCACATGGACTAAAATAAGTCTTACCTGCCGCTCACACAGCAGGTAGCCCTGGCATCCCAAGGTCAGTGTGGGTGTGGGTGTGGATGTGTGTGGGTGTGTGGCCAGAGGGGCCCAAGAGAGAATGTATCTCACACATTGACTCGTAGTCCCTTCTCTTCTCTCCCTGACCCAGTCTTATGTCTCTTTAGATCCATGGTTCTGAGACTTCAGGTGTACTAGAGTTACCTGTAGAGCTTTCTAAACAGATTTTTGAACTTCACTTCAGGAGATTCTGGCATGCACCTGAGAACTTGCATTTCTGAGAAGTTCCCAGAGGACACTTGGCCCAGGGATCACCCTTAGAGTAGCATGCTGTTGATGCTGGTACACGTCAGTAAGGAAATGTAGTCTGCTCTAGTTTTTTGCACTGTGTGTTAAGCTGTTTCCCTAAGCCCACCTACCCTTAGAGCAAATAGGAAGGCGCAGGAAGGCTCTTGCTCACTGCTTCTGTGTTCGTTGGTCTCTTCACAGGAAGCAGGAGCTGGCCAACAGCTCAGATGTGACCCTTCCAGACCAGCCGCTGTCCCCTCCTCTCACTGCACCCCCCACCATGAAGGTAAGAGGCTAAGAGTTGACAGGCTGGGATGGAGGGCATGTGAGGGAAAGTCTTGAAGCCTTGATATCATTTTTGGCTCCTGGCCCAGCTGCTTCCATCCCAGTGGGGTTTGTAGAGGGCCTGACACCTTTAGAAGCAGTGTCTAATTAAGCTTGCCAGTGCAGGAGGAAAGTGTGATTGAGGCTCAGGGGTGTTTGCATCAAGAGGCAGTGAGGAGAGATTGGGGCTGAAATGGGGTTGTTGGGAGCCGTGGGGTTTGGGGGCAAGGGTCCCAGGCCAGAGGAAGAGAAGGGGCTGTTGCCTAAGATTGTCTGGGGCTGGAACTTGAGTAGCACTGGCAGGCTGGTCTACCTGCCTCTGACTGGCTAGGATAGCCCTGCTGCCCAAGTCCCTGGGGGAGAGTTTCCCTGGAGGCTCTGGGGGAGCAGTAATTCTTTTTCTATCGGTGCTTTATTCATAAGCCTCTTTCCTGGGGATTCCATCCCAGGAAGTCTAGGACCCTTCCCTTCCTCAAAATGGACGGTCATTTTCCCCTACCACCCTGTCCTCTTCACCTGTTCATCCCCTGGGCAGGATGAGCACATAGACCTGTTCCGGCCTTCAGGGAGGACTTTTAGTTCAGCCATTTTCCTGTCTGGGGTGCTCGGTACCCACTGCTTCATACTTTGTTGGGTGGGGACTGGCTCTGAAGAAGTCACTGGCTTTCTGAGTCATCGAAAGGGACATCTAGGCTCTGTCCAAAGGCTCTGGTCTGAAGTGACTTACAGGGAAATAATTAGGCATCTCTTCCCTGCTGCTCTGTATTATTCCCCTTCTTCCTTGGCCTCATCTCTTTCAAGGTGACACCTGTAAAGGAAGCAGATAAAAGTCATCCCATATTGGATTCTCAGCGTGCAAAGCCACGTGACATTCGCCGGAGGGAGTGTGTGCGTGGCAGCGGAACCTGGCCCGGTTGGGTGTGGTGTTCCGTGGTAGACAGAGGGCTCTGCTCTCCTCCTGGTGGGGGACCTGGAGGCCCCGAAAGCCTGACCACTCACCAGTCTGGCGCCAGTGTTGGTGTCTGACCCAGCTGCAGGGGTTGCTCGTGTAACCAGGGTAAAGCCGAAGAGCGCGTTTCCATTCTGAGTTTCAGCCTGTGATCTCGAAGTTGGATATGGGAAGCTTGTTTGTGCTGGGATGGCGGAAATTTGAAGGGAGAGCTTGAAAACCCAGGAGAAGTCTCAGGAGTGCTTCTGGCAGGCTTTGCTCACACACTCGTTTAATTCATTCAACACCTCAAATTTATCTGAATGTTGCATTAGTCAGGTCTCTTGGTCACAAGTGACTGAAACATAACTTACTTTGGCTTAGGCATAAAGGAAATTTTTTTGCCTCTGTAACTGTCTGTTTTGTGTTGGTTTCATTCTTTGTCTCTGTGGTAGCAGGATGGTGACAGCTGTTCCTACTGGCTAACCCCCAGTGGAAAGAGAGGAGTCTTACTCGGTACTTCTAACAAAAGTCCCAGGAAGGAAGATGATTGGTCGTGTGTTTATCTCTGAGTCAGTCACAGTGGCCAGAGAGATGGGAGGCTGTGGTTGGCCAGGCCTGGGTCTCATGACCTAAACTGTAAGAATTGAGAATGGGGGAGACATGGCTCCTCAGGGGAAAGTCGAAGCACTACTGTGAGAAGAAGGGACATACACGCAGGGTAGGCAAGACTAATACCTTTCTACCCCCGGAGATGGTGATGTGCAAGGCCCAGAGCTGGGTGCTGGTGGCCTCTGATTGAACAGGATATTGTGGTTTCCTCCTCTCTTGGAACTGATAGTCTCCCTAGGAGCCAAAAGTTTGAAAATATAACAAGAATGAAGCATGACAGTTTAGTTTGGTACGCGTTCAAAGGAGAAGCCATGTGTAGTTTAGTAAAAATAAAACACTGGGGCTTGAGGGTGCTTTAACCAGCTCTTGGAGAAGGACAGGTAGGACTTCGTTGAGAGAGTGGCATTTAAACTGAGCCCTGAGAGTTGTGCCGGACTTAGACAAAGGTGGAGTCAGAAAGGAAAAGCTTGTTCTACATCCTTGCTGTTCAAAGGCCAAGGAACCAGCTACACCTGTGTCATCTGGGCCCTCTTTAGGGAAGGAGAATTTAGGCAGAGCACTTTCCTAGCAGGCAGGAGGCCCCGAGTTTGAGCCCCAGTATCACCCTCCCCCCATACACATACACGGCAGAATCTCAGGCCCAAGCCCAGACCACTGAATCAGAACCTGCATTTTAGCAGTATTTCCAGGTGATTTGTAGGCGTACGGCAACTTGAGAAGCACTGCTGTGGGCTGGAGCTGAGGGCCTCTGAGGAGAACAAAGGTTGTGGAGGAACTGAAGGTAGGAGGCAGAAGGCATCAGAATGGCCAGAGCATCTGGAGTTAGGGACCAAGAGGTTGGTCCTGTAGGTAGGGACCAGATCAAGCAGACCCTTGAAAGTTTTGCTAAAGATTCTGGAGTTTAGCCGGGCCTGGTGGCGTATGCCTATAATCCCAGAACTCTGGAGGCTGAGGCAGGAGAATCGCTGTGAGTTTGAGACCAGCCTGGGCTACACAGTGAGTTCCAGGTCAGTCTCAACTACATAGTGAGACCCTGCCTCAAAAAACCAAAAAAAAAAGAAAAAGATTCTGGAGTTTTTCCTAATTAAGGGAACTGAGGTTATTGAAGATTTTGCCAGAAATTAAGATGATGGGGCTTTTGAACAATCATCCTAGATGTTGCGAGGAGGATCTTTGGGAGGGACAGAGTGGAAATTAAGAGATGCATCAGAGGCTACTGCATGAGAATCCACAGGGAAAAGATCCTGACTCTAAGGTGCCAATGGGGTTGTTTGGAAATAGTCTGGTCCCAGACTTCCCAGGTGGTAGATTGATGACATAAGAGGATTTGAGGAGAAAGAAGAGGCAAGAATGACCCCAGTTTTAGAGCAACTGGACTTAGCACAGCCCTTCTCCAAAATAAGGGGGGCCCAGGAAGGAGGTGGAAGGTGATGATGTAACACTGAGTTGAACGTGCCTCAGACAGGGACAGGCATGGGGTGAGCAGCTGAGTATTCTGGGCCAGCTTAGAAGAAGGATCTGGGCTGGAGGTCAGGCTCGGGGAGCGTTCTCCTGGAGAAGGGAATTGAAGGTCTTCAGGAAAAGGGTAGAGTGAAAAGACAAGAGGTTCCTGGGTGGCACCTTGAGGTGTTCTCCCAGGTGGAGGCTGGTGCTGGGGCCTCTGTGGAAGAGGTTGGACCTAGATGTGTGGGAGCAGCATTTTGCAGGGAGGAAAGGGCAGCTGGATGAGCAGCTGCAGAGAGCAAGTAGGACATGGAGTGCACAGGGGCCACTGGACAGAGTGGGCTGGAAGTTGCTGGGTTGTAATTGAGAGCAGTCTTGGAAAGCGTGTGGCAGGGGGCAGCAGTTGCCCAGCACTGAGAAGTGGGTGGAGGTGGTGAAAAAGTCAAAAGATGTAGACAGACCTCACAAGGTAGGCAGAGCTGAGTGTGTAGACTTGTTGAAAGGAGGAAGCCAGAGTGTACAAGAGGACATAGCATAGGAGTGATCAGGAGTCTGCTCTGCCGTGGCCATCCTGGGGCTGGAGGGCCTTAGGCAAGCCCAGAGCAGAGCAGCAATCACATTCTTCAGAAGGTATCTTCTGCCCCGTGTCCTCTGTCTTCTTTGAACTCAGCTCGGGAATTTCCTTGCAGTGATATTTCTGCCCAGGCCCCAAGGGCAAGGTCAGAGCTGGGAACAGGAAGAATGCAGAGGTTTGTCCTAAGGACTCAGTCTGTCTTTGAACCCTTTTGTGGTTGTTTGGGTGAGTCTCAGTTGTACCTGGATTAAGGGTCTCTCTGTCACTGTCATTGGGGTTTATTCTGTGACTGACAGCCCATAACTGTGGTTAGGAGTCTGTCTGTGGCTGGGACATTTTTTTTCCCTTTGTGCAAAAGCTAACTGCTCATCAGGGATTTAAAACCACATTCCTCACCTCCCACCAACCTGCTCACCACAGAGGAGCAGCCCTTTGTGACTGCGTTTACCAAATAATGCCATTGCAGCTCCTTGCTGCTAGTTGTCTGATCCTTTCCCTTCAGAGAGCTTCTGAGCTTAGCAGTTGCATCTTGGTCTTCAGGTCCCAGTCTTTGAATTGCCAGGCCCTGGCTTGGTTGGGCTGGGTGCCTAGGAGTTGCTTGTGTACTGTACAGGTTGTCCAGATTGGAGGAGCTTGTTCTGGTAGTCATCCTCTAACCCCTTAGATTTGCCTGACCTTTATATCCCAGTACACTCAGTCTCCCCATCTGCAAGAGTGTGGTCAGGTCTATGTTTTGCTGACACTTCCAGAGTCCCCTGCACATTGAGTCCTGAGATACCCTGGGATGGAGGTCGGACACAAATATATGCTCTCTCCCTCTCTTCTCCAGCCCTGAGTGCTCATGAATTGGTTCTCTATCCACAGAGCATCTGGGCATTGGGAGAACTGGTTTCCTTGGCAATGCAGACTCAGGGTAGGGGTGGTGGAGACCCCTTTGGTTGGTTAATTTGGGAGTCAGCATGTGAGGGGCAGGTAAGCCAGTTCCTTTATAGATAAACCAGAGTCCCAGAAGTGGGAAATAGCTCATGCGAAGTCCCACTGAAGTTAGTCTGTGCTCCTCCCTCGGTCAATAGAATAAGTCAAATGCTGAGATGTGGGCCATTTTTTTGTAAAGTATGGTTCCCACCCTACACACTCAAGGACAGCCCCTCTTCTAGTTGCTTCTCCCAGAGTGAAGGCTGATGGGACTGCAGGGGCAGTAGCTGCCTCCAGCCTGAGTACCTCCTCCTGTACCCCTGACCCTGCAGGTATGCCTGGTGCCATCCATCCTTCGTATACCCTCCCCCACCTCGGTGCTGTTTGTGTTTTTCAAGGGGATTTTTTTTTTCCTAATAGGAAGCTGAGAAAAAGCAACCAAAGTGGCACTGAGCAGATGGGCTGAATGGGAGCCCAGTTCCCAGCCAGA